GTATTTCGCTTTTTCCAGTTGATCCTGAATTGATATGATATCCGGCATTCGAAAAGCATCTCCTACTCTGAGGTTGTTTAACTTCCTAAAGCCGACTACCACTCAGAATTTCCTGGTTTCTGAACAATCTAATTTCTTTGGGATGATCAGCAGTGGAACGTCGCTTTGTCTTATGATTCCCTCCTCTTCTAACTGTTTTACTTAACCATTTATCTATGCTTTCTGAGAATATGGGAGCCTGTATGATAGCCTCGTTGATAGATTAGTTGAGTAGTACCAGTAGTACCGGGTGTCTTTATTTCGTGTTCAGCTGCGTTAGTACAGCTTACTTTATCCCCTTCCAAAAAAAATACACACGAGAACTCACTAGAGAGATTCTCGATCGCTTCCCTTTCTTCTAAAWTCATGTGGTCCCATCTCAGTGTTTCTTTCAAGAGTTGAATGCGGTTGTTTAGGTTCTTAAGTATCTGATCTATTTRAATATTGTTTATAGAGAGTAGGTCAAATATTTCATGTGACAAAACGGCTAGTTTCTTGCTCGACATTTCTTTCATWTTTTTTTGCTTGTTTTTGTAGTCCAATATGTGATTCTTCTCTATGTTCATTMATTTTTAATGCCCRCGCTGGTATTATATTTTCTACTTTCATTATTTCTACATGTTCAGTTTCTCCAGATTCTTCTGCGTAGAAGAAATAAATAGACAAGATTATTACCTAGGTAATTACAACTAATTATTAATATGTAGTTACTTAATCATTACAGAATTTATTTAAATTCATATTTTTTACATCTCATTTATATAAAGAAAAATATTTGAACACGGAATAATTATGACAGTATATTTTTTATCTTATGCAACTACCTAATAATATATTTTTTTTAATAATATTATCATTTTATGAATTGTTTCCCTTTATTTACATTTAGATATCTGCTTTTATATTTGCAAGTGAAGGAAAAACAGCTGAAAAAGTAACTACTAGTCTTTTAAAACTAATATTTACACTTGAATTAGYTTCTGAATACAGCTGGAAAGGACAAAAGGGGTAAAAAAAACTTCAAGATCACCATATTTTCAAAGTTATTATTAGTAAGTTGATATAGAACATTTTGTATATTAAGAACTGAATTTATATGAAGTTTAATATTATTGTATATAACATAATATAAGTTTGTATAGTTTAATGATAACAATAAATATTTATTAATTTTAGCTGCCGTAAAAAATAAGTATATCAATAAAGATGATATAAAGCCTAACATAATGACATGGTTTGCTCAAGCATCCCACAAAATTAAAACAAGGTAATTCTATATAATATGACATTAATATTATTATAGTAGAATATCCTGTTTATCTTTCCCTGGCCCACACAATGTAGCAATAATTTGTGTGATAGGAAAACGGATCCTATTGCTGTGTAAATACTGAATATAATAATGTATTTATAATTATTAGTACGGAATTAATCAAATATTTGCTAGTTGTATTTTTTACACCATTTTCTATGCTGGTGATGATTAATATATACTACTAGCAATTATTGATAATACCTATTAGGCATATTATAGAAAAATTAAATAAATACCTACATGTAAAAATATTATTCTTTGTACCTACCTTCTTATAAATACATTTAAATCCAAAAATGTTTATTTTGCATCTGTTGTAGCAAACAAGTCAATAAAGAAAGTTGCAATAATAATGGAAACTTAGTGCCAACTATGATGACAATCAATAATAATATTGATNGGTGTGGGTGTTAGTACAGCAAATGAAGTCAGAGATAATTTGATTAGAACTTGCTTAGATGTATGTAACCGATTAAAAGGAGACATTGTGTTAGACAATGATGATGAAAATGACAATAGCGTTATTCAAAATCGTAATTCTAACTTAATGATAAGAGCGGATACCGATTTGCGAGATAATTATTCACCTGGTTGGAAATTCAACCACTGGGAGTTGAAGGTATTTATTTATTAGTTTTTTTTTATTATGAATGATCTATAAAAGATATTGTTAAAATGAATTTTTAGGGGGTTCCATTGAGGTTAGAAATTGGACCAAAAGATTTGGATCGAAACCAAATTGTAGCTGTTCGGCGAGATAATGGAGAGAAAATAACTATCCCCTTAGATGGACGTACAAAAGACGATGGAGAAGACAAGATGGTTGTAAGAATAACAGAGTTATTGAATCAAATACAGCATGATATGTACACTAAAGCAGAACAGGAAATGAAAGAAAATGTTGTGATATGTCGTAAATGGTCGGAGTGTGGTGCACATTTAGCAGCTAAACGTTTACTATTAATACCGTTTTGTGGACGTCCAATTTGCGAAGATAACATCAAACGGGATACTACATTGTATGAACATATTGTGCACACATAAGTTTAAAAATTAGTTTAATTTAATCTTTTTGTATTAATTATTCTRTAGGGACGACGGTACTGCAGAAGTGGGAGCTTCGACAATGGGAGCAAAATCGTTATGTGTGCCATTTGAACAGCCCAAGGGAGCAGAAATATTAAAATCCAATGATCAATGTATACATCCAGAATGTGGGCAGCCAGCAGGGTCGTTTACCTTATTTGGCCGCAGTTATTAAATAAAATGTTCACTAAATGAAACTGAGAATGTCTGGCTTTTGTGTAAAAATTTAAAAATTTATGTTCATGATTAAATAAAATATAATAATTTGTAAATAGTTATTTGTTTTATCATTATCTCTACAAGTTACAATATTTCAACCATTTTTGTACATATTGCATGCGTGGAGGGGGATTTATAATATTAATCCAATATAAAACTGTGGCTGGGACACCTTTTAAACCAAAAMACATCCTTTGAAATTCATAATTTCCTTTATCCATACTGAATGCAATTCTTTCTCTATCGTTAGGATGTATCGATATTTGGGTCCACTGGCCATTTCAAGGCATGTTAAGTATTTCGCTTTTTCCAGTTGATCCTGAATTGATATGATATCCGGCATTCGAAAAGCATCTCCTACTCTGAGGTTGTTTAACTTCCTAAAGCCGACTACCACTCAGAATTTCCTGGTTTCTGAACAATCTAATTTCTTTGGGATGATCAGCAGTGGAACGTCGCTTTGTCTTATGATTCCCTCCTCTTCTAACTGTTTTACTTAACCATTTATCTATGCTTTCTGAGAATATGGGAGCCTGTATGATAGCCTCGTTGATAGATTAGTTGAGTAGTACCAGTAGTACCGGGTGTCTTTATTTCGTGTTCAGCTGCGTTAGTACAGCTTACTTTATCCCCTTCCAAAAAAAATACACACGAGAACTCACTAGAGAGATTCTCGATCGCTTCCCTTTCTTCTAAAWTCATGTGGTCCCATCTCAGTGTTTCTTTCAAGAGTTGAATGCGGTTGTTTAGGTTCTTAAGTATCTGATCTATTTGAATATTGTTTATAGAGAGTAGGTCAAATATTTCATGTGACAAAACGGCTAGTTTCTTGCTCGACATTTCTTTCATTTTTTTTTGCTTGTTTTTGTAGTCCAATATGTGATTCTTCTCTATGTTCATTAATTTTTAATGCCCGCGCTGGTATTATATTTTCTACTTTCATTATTTCTACATGTTCAGTTTCTCCAGATTCTTCTGCGTAGAAGAAATAAATAGACAAGATTATTACCTAGGTAATTACAACTAATTATTAATATGTAGTTACTTAATCATTACAGAATTTATTTAAATTCATATTTTTTACATCTCATTTATATAAAGAAAAATATTTGAACACGGAATAATTATGACAGTATATTTTTTATCTTATTATGCAACTACCTAATAATATATTTTTTTTAATAATATTATCATTTTATGAATTGTTTCCCTTTATTTACATTTAGATATCTGCTTTTATATTTGCAAGTGAAGGAAAAACAGCTGAAAAAGTAACTACTAGTCTTTTA